ATCCGAACAGAAGAAAATGCTTGCCGCACTCCAGTTGCCTTGACCCCATCCCAACCGACGGGACGAATCAAACCATGACCTCAATCAAGTCGTGAAGATGCAACATGATGTGACAGATTGCGTGTGAATAATAGGTCATCGAAAATTAACAGAGGCGACCTTGGTGCCCCTCCCTCCTCCATGTGCTCCTGTAAAACTTGACAGACAATGTTGTTCCTTCATATTTAGCTCATTGAAACAATCAAACTCGCATCTATCTTTTAGGACAATTACACGATTAAATATAAATGTTTGGAGATGAAATTACGAAACCAAGCTTGTTTGCTATATTTTGTCTTGATTAAATTGTAAGAGTGGATCCTGGTCCGGTCCGGAACGCTTTAGAAAATATTAAATCACTACTTCGTCTGTCGTGATTCGACTCACTTCTCGTAAAGAAATTTTTAAACGCAAAATTGCTTACTACGTCCAATTCATTACTGAGCTGCTTTTGTGATTAATGATGATGCGTGTTGCCTCCTCATGATACCAGGAATGCGAGATTGCCCTGTGCCAATAAAGATGAAAGTGTTAATTGCAAAACAGCAATCCGATTTTTTCACAAATAATCAATCCTCGAAACGGGTTCCAATTATAGAGAGGTATTCAAAACCTTGAACAGGAAGAACAAGATATTGTGTACCTGAAAGATAACCAGCCTAGAGAAACAAATGGGATAAATCAACTTGAATCCAGTTAGATAGTAGGAAGAAAGCTGATAGAAAACACCTTTGCAGAATAAATACAACACTAGCACACAAACTATCTAGAAAAGCTTGCAACTAACCTGGATCTGCCCTTACCAGTACAATATAGTCTGCATACAGAAGTCTCGGTTGGCATTCGACAACTTGAGACATCTGTGGTGCCGTTGTGAAATACAGTTGTCTGTGAAGGGTAGAGTGAATGCTGCATCAGCTAGGCTAATCCTGCTCTACAGTGCAGAGACTTGACCATTACAGGAACAGGATAGAAATAGATTGTCGGTGTTCGGACACCTCTGCCTACGTCGCATTGCACGAGATTGGTGGGGGTAACCGAACAAGCAATACCGAGGTACGGCGTAAAGTTTTAGGTAATTACGGTCGCCCACTGGAGCAAGCGATCGAACTCCATAGAATACGTTGGTTGTGGCATGTGTTACGCATGTCACCAGATAAGTTTCCACGGCGAGCGATGTTTGCCGAGGCAGGCAGCAGATGGAAAACGCTCAAGGACGGTCAACCTGAGACCTGACATGAAGGTATGCAAACTCTAATTAGAAAACTGGGTCATATAGGTAATATTAAGCTCCCTGGATGGGGACCGATGTTTAGAAACACTGAGTGATATGGCTTTGTCGCAAACAATGACAATCGTGCATTTACTCATTTGTCCTACAACTCCAATCTATATTGATTCCCTATCTTCTCCCTGACTCTGCTCTCAACACTCCAATACTTATTCTGCTGTTTTATCCAAATAGGCAGTCAAAAGACAGCAATCAAAACCGGCGCACGAAGCTGCATGGTTAAAAGTATTACATACTGAACTAAACTGTTCAGAAATAACCTACAGTGCCGGAAGCACGAGATTGTTTTAATAGGAGAAACCGGATGAATGACATTCAATTTTTGACGAACCATACTGCACGGTTATTCTTCTAAACATGCATTTTGTTGATCGAATTGCCCAACAAATATTGTCGGTTCGTGCACTGAAAATTCAGTCAGTAATTATTATTCGCATTTAGCTCACAGTTATTTGTGACTAGTGGATATGCACCACTGAAGAGCTCTCATAAGGGTGAAATTCAAGTCTAGTGCTTCCGAGTACATGATTGATTGGATGAATTGAGGATTGCGCGTAAACGTAAAGTCCGAAAGATAATCAGTTCAAATCAGTAGAAATAATTGTCATTCTACTTCATGGATATTTTTTTGTTTCCGTGGGATATTTGTCTCAAAGAACTCTTCTGGCTTCTGTTATCGGTACAGTGCAGTACAAAAGTTTTAACATCGCTGAAAAAAATCGTCTTCTTTCTTTCCCTTCGCCTCTGTCTCTCCAATGGTTTGTTTCAACCAGTGATTTCGAATTTGACGGCATGGGCAAAAGTCAACAAGAGGCCGTTTTGGAATTATGCCGTACGCAGATCGCAGCCAGTTACAAGATTTGCATGCACAAATCAGATGTTTCTATGAGGTGAGATTGTTTGTTTTTAGAGGATTTCTTATGCAGTAATTCTGTTTCTCAATCTCCTCTCTGCAAAAATAGTAATATTCCGTCAAACTGTGAATTCTGGCTAGCGAATGTGGGATTTAAGTTTTCTGCTACCATTTTTATTTGCCTATATTGAACCATTTACTTGGCGTGCGTTCCTATCAAAGTGGAATGGTGGGCTACAGAAAGACCAATCTGCAGGCCTCAAAAACTATTAGTGATATTAGTACTTCTATTCAAGTGATTCCCGTCCTAATCAGTGCCTACCGTGAATATTTTTACTCGATTGTCCGGGTCGGACCGCCTTTATGACGGCTTATTTGGGAAAAACTAACAGTAAATGTGAACATATCACCAACACCCATAGTCTGGAATTACGGAAATTTGCAATTTTATCAGGTTTATGCTAGCCACCGGAGCTGTTCGGTTACGTTCTTGTTCTGGTACTGATGTGTAAAGACTAACAGATATTTCAGAGAGGAAATCCGTTGCGTATAGAGAAAATGAAGCGTGAACTTAAAACCTTGGAAGCACTGTACAGTTGTTTCGACCTGGTTGGGTTTCATCAGCTGCAGTGTGAATCCATCGATGATGAGACCCAACCAAGTCGAAACAGCTGTACAGTGCTTCCTACCTTTTCAGTTTAACGTTTCATTTTCTCTATACGCGACTAATTACCTCTTTAACATTGTATCAAATCATCCGTTGCTCTCAAGTTATAAAGAAATATATTTGATTTATACCGGATAATAATTGGTATGAGAGCAAGTTCCTACCTTCCAGAATTCAAAGTGGCACATCTTATTGTGTTTGATTGTCATGAGGTGTTTACAATTGATGGTTCCGGGTTATATGTAACCGAAAAATAGCGACCAAAACCGGCGCACGATAGTGCATGGTTGATGGTTGTACAAACTGAAACTATATGTAACCGCCTTATTACTGGGTGTCGGTTGCGTCATCGATTTCACCAACCACTTTGGAATATGCTCGGCCATCCGTTGTGATAACTGACATGATATTATGTTTTGTATGGGATTGTACACTATACCGTTGTTCAGAGGAAGTACCTGGCACATTGAAAACCAGCGGGTGGGGGGCGAGGTAAAAGTTTATCGAGAAAACAGAATAAATAACTTCGTTAATCTAACACAGTGACGTGTATTGTCCTGTTTGACGATCAACCTCGGACAAGAACCACGTTCCAACTGACTGGGCATTTTGACTCAGTTTTAGCCCTCTTCAGGCTGCCCCTGACTATGTTCGTTTCAACTTTCCTCTTGCTTTATTGATCCGATTTTTCCGAGTGCCAAATGGCACTGCAGCTCCCGACCTGAGGCATCTTACTGCCTTCCTGGGATTCAGTAATACGGCGTTCGTTGGTCGCTCAGACTACCTTTGTCTGCGACAGGGTGCTTTTTGCATGGTCACCACCGTTTAATTCGCCCTATACTTCTTGCATAGTTTCCGCTACCACTGTCGATTACCCTTGCCATCCGTTGTGGAAGCGACGGTGCTCTCCTCTACAATAAGAATTACTCTAATTATGGTAAATAATACTGGTTCGTTTGATGGAAGTTAAAAGTGAACTAAGCATCAAAATAACTCCATAGTCTTCGAACATTTCATTTGTGAACTTAACCAAATGTTTAGCGTAACTTTGGTACAAGCTTATTTCATCAAAGACCGCGCTCTCCAAAAATAATGAATTCAGATTTCGTATGCCAACCTAACTGCTCCTGCATAACCCTAAGTCTATGAAAAACCACAATGTATTCATTGCCACAGTGAAGACTCATAACCCCTCAACAAATTAGCACCATGTACCGTTTGAATTGTGTTGATTCTTTATTCGACTGCAATGTGACTCAGTCGGTGGGTCGCACACCGTGAGTCGATCGCTGTCTGATGATGTCCAGTGCATCTATTTCACTATACTTTGGAGTGATTTAAGCTTTCCAACGTTCGATTATACACTAGCTTTATGCCTCAAGTATCCCTTCAGCGCATGGCTTCCTCAGAACCTACTTTATTTGCTGACTTCTGTAAATGACATGCGCTACCTCGAATATAAAGTACTTGTACAGAAATCGTCTAAGTGTCTTACAGAACACATTACCACAAAAACGGAATCGCCTAGCCACCTTCGGTTGGGATGAAGTTTGACGGTAGTGGAACAGAAAGGCAGTAATGTAATGGGATTGTGAAACTCGTTAAAAATTGGCTTCAATTGGTGGTTGTTAAACGTGTTTCAATCAATAAATCTAAAGGTAAGTGTTAGTTATGGCTTATGCGGACTAACGAAGTGACACGGCATTGAACGTTGAACGCTGCTGCTAATGCTCGAATACTAAAGCTTTCCTGGAGGATTGCAATCGGTCGCTGAGGAACTCCTTCTTGTCAACAGGAAGAAACATGTCCTATAAGATTTGTGCAACCGTCAAGAAGATCACTAGGTAGCTGTTTGATCCCTGTTGGACTCGTCAGTATTGTCTCGTCATATTCTTCTGTCGGAACTCAAACCGCGAGAGTTTTGACCGTAGAACTAAGACAGGAACTAAACCCTCATAGTTGAGAACAAATCCCGAGGCTTCGCGCATTTTCAAAATATCGACCTCTGGAATAATCTTCTTTTCAGGCAGAGAACTGTTTTCCTGTGGCTAGCGTTTTCCCGGGACCCAAACCGGGGAGACCAACATCGTCAACATGACCAACAAGCATACATGGTCCACGTTCGCGTACCTTCTTGCCGGCTGGCGGTATGTCCATCATTGAGCTGACAAATACTACACACCGAATTATACGTAACACGTGTCCCAATGATCCAGATCAAGCACTTCGTCAATGGTTCCGTCACTATTGCCTTCTACTGATTCTTCGCTTAACCGCATCATTCCTCATCCGGTTGCCCAATCAGACTCGTACAATGCTGCCTTGTTAACCATAACCTAATAATAGTCTGCGTTTATCTCCGACGGCCATATCTCTGCACCGTATACTAGTCTTATAAATCCATTAGACAGTGTCGGAACGACGAGAGCTGTTAATTAATTATAACGGTAAGAGTATCGGTAAATTGGCATACATAGAACAAAATGTCTCATTTGGAATGAGTCTTCAGAATTACCACAAGCACATGGGATAATTACTCGAAAGGTCCGACAGTAGGGTAGCATTTTATCTAGTTACAAGATTAAATCCTTCAGTCCGTTCCTGAACTGCGTGGGAATCCAAGAACCGCTTCTTGATGCGTATAAAGTACTTACTAGTGTGAGTGGTACCTCACAGCACTAGGTCTGGCCAGACGGTTGTGACCGGCACTCTACCCCTGACAAAAAATCGAATGTCGCGTGTATACTAACGATGATTTATGTGATCAAATCCCAACCACAATCTCTGTAGCGACACTTCATTGAAGACTCACCCATCAGAAGAAATAATCCCCTTAAAGAAATAGTAGTTTTTAATTCTCCAAATATACCATCATTACACATTGTAAGAAAACACGTAGTAGCGAATAAGCTTGTTTGTTCAGGCTAATACATCACAGGTTATATCAAACTGTTTGGTATGGGGGGGGG